AGATCTCTCACAGTCCCTGAAACAGGATTAAAAGGAAAATACAGGTCTAAGTGATTTTCTGAACAGGGAATTGTTTTTTTTGTTTGTTTGTTTGCTTTTAATGAGGCTTGTTTGTAATTGTGGCTGCTGATGGCCATCAGCTAACACAGATCAAATAGCAGTGGAGATGCAGTAACTTGAGCTTTTAGCTCAGTTGTGGCCCACGGAAGCCCAGGGATGGGATGGGAACCTGGCCTCAGTTCAGCCGGCTTTGTCATCGCTGCTGGGAAGAACCAAACTCACTCCTCTGAGTTGTGCAACTCGTCTTTATCAGAGATGTGGGGTATTTTTCTGCTATGTAGAAATACCCCAGGAGGTTGCTGAAAGACCCCAGGCAGTTGTTTGCAAGTGTGGGGCCCCTCTTAAAATACCCCTTATTATGGCAGCACAGAGCCTGCTGGGAGCCACTTCTGAGTCACTTGAGTGCGATGGAAAAATCCCTTTTTTCCTCATTCATAGGAAACGTGTTTTCTTCCAGATGTGCTGAGCAATGCAGTTGCGTGAAGTCAGGCACACGAGCCTGGCTAGTGGTTCAGAGTGTCATATTAGGAAAGCAATCTGAGATACCTCCATCTGAAAAGTATCGCCCACAGGGATGCGGATCCGACTTGCAACGAGCTTATCTAGAAGGAAGCCCAAACTACCTTCCCGTTCCTGTCCTTCTCTTCTTAAACAAAAGTTTTCTTACAGTGGCACCTTACACGTAATCTCGTGGGTGGATTTTGTCAGAGGAGCCACCAGTGACTGATCCAGCACATGTGGAAAAGGGCTTGTTCTCCAAATTAGATGATTTCTTAAATTCCAAATAATAACTGAGGCAGAGTTCTTCAAAAGCAAGATCAGTGTTTGCAGTTAAATTGGGTTGCTGTCCTGTATCATGCTAGGTTTTGTTGGAATGCCTTAAAAAATGCCAAAATCATCCAACAGTCCAAGTCTTGTTGACTTTCCCCACTCTTTTGGTAGCATCAGTCAAGGTGAAAGTCTGAGACAGTGAAAATTACACAGAAAAAACTGCCTGAAGGGCCACACACAAGCTGCTCCCGGGGTGTTTCAGCATCTCCACTACATGTGGGTTTCTCTGCCAAAAGAAAGACATTTGGTAAACTGAAATGGTGCAGTCAAGTGTCAGCCTTGGGAAATGAGGCAATTGGGAGCAGGAGCCCAAAGGCACACCAGTGCCCAAAATCTGCTTTCCCCTTTCTGATGGAATTTACTCCGATGGCCTTCCACCATGTCTTTTTATTTTTGTGAACGTACCATTAAAAAAGAAAATTGCAGCTTTTTATACTTCGATGATAGTGACATAAATGCTGTGTTTTCCTTCCTCTCTCTTTTTGGAATGTGTCCAATAAAACTGGATTGTAATTTATTTGTTTCAACATCTTTTTACTCTAAAGCAGAATCAGGAGGAGGAAATACTCTCAATCTTCAGCAGAGTGAACTGGAAGAGGCTTTTGCTTTACTTTGGGGGAAAAGTTTCAAAATTCTGATAAAATTATAATGAAAAGCTTGAAATGAGTTGTCCCACAGCAAACTGAAGAATCTGAGAAAAGAGGAGGAGGAGGAGGGTGGTGGTTTATCCATTAAGTGACAAGAAAATTAATCACTGTTCATTTCTTAACATGTGATTGGGGTTAATCCAAAAGCCTCTCTTCCATGGAAGAGAGGGTATTGCACAGCCCTGCTCGCTTGGGAAAAAACCAAACAAACCAGTATTTAATTTTTGCTTTCTCAAAAAGAAATAGCAAAACCAAGCATATATGGGGCTCTGGGGGAGGATTTTATCAGGTTCATCTAGACTGATGACGGGTTTTGGTGAGCTGGAGCAGAGCAACTCACCGACCAATGCAGGTATTTTGGTCAGCCGTCATTGCAAAAGGAGAATAAAAAAGAAAAAAAAAAAGGGGGAAAAGAAACCTCAGACAAACACTCACACCTTATTGCATTTCAAAGAGTCAGACGCCTCGCTCTTCCCTGACCTCTCGGCATCCCGGCTTTGCACACCTCAGCACAGCGATCGGAACGAGCACGCACACGCCGGCGCGGCAGGTTTGCAGCAGACGCTCACAACCGCTTCAGCAAAACCCCCCTGAAACCCAGACGCACCGAAACGCGGGAGCATCACATCTCCCTTCGCCCAGAAAATCAAGGGAGCAGTGGTGAGGAAGACCGAATTCCAGGGACAAAACCCAACTCCTCGTCCCCTGCTGTTGCAGAGGATGATATTGACACTCAGGTCAAAAATTAGGGAAGGCTGAAAATAAACCCTGAGTCACCTCGATTTCTGTGCTCGTCTGTGCAAACGCTGCGTTACACAGCACGGGCGTGAGGAATTAATACAGCCAGTGACCACCTAACCTTAACTAACCTTACAAGTTTTGAATGTCTTTCTTCCAGTCTGCGGTTAAAAAAAAGAAAATAAAAGTGTCCAAAGAGAAGTGGTGTTCACAGGCAGCTGAGCTCCTGCAAACATCCCAGTTGGCCCCATTCCTCCTCCCAGTGCTGTGCAGTCCCAGCCCACCCACCACCCCCCTCACCCTCCAGGCAACCCCTCTGCAGCAAATCCTGCCTCCCAAATAGACACCCTCTCTGCAGGCCACTTTCCCACCTGGGGGGTGGGGGTAACACAGACCACCTACAACCCAGAGCAGCTTCAGGAGGACAGTGCATGTGAGCAACACAAGCCAAGCAAGAAGACTGTGTGGGACAGAGATACTGCAAGAATTCTCCTTGTTTTGGTGCCTAAACCATCATTTGCTTTACTCTTCCAAATCCTTTGTAATATTTCACTTAATTACCCTTGTCTGCAGCAACAGGCTTTCCTAGAAGAGCTGGAGAGGTAATGACTGCCTTCAACACGAATCCTTTCCCTTTGCTTTAATTAAAACATTTGCAGCCTGCGCTCTGGTTCCCAGGTGTGACTTTGCATAGCTCTTTGGGAGCCAAAGGCAGGCTCCCCGCCTGGCCCCCGTCCACAGCATCCGG